CCCAGGCACCCCCCATCTTTATTTTTATGTTTTACTTACTGGGGGACTTCCTTGACTTTATATTCTAACACTTTTATAATTTTCTTTGGCAATCATAATTTTTTTTTTTTTTAAGATTTTTTATTTATGGGGTGCCTGGGTGGCTCAGTTATTAAGTGTCTGTCTGCCTTCGGCTTGGGTCGTGATCCCAGGGTCCTAGGATCAGCCCTGCATCGGGCTCCCTGCTCAGTGGGGGTCTGCTCCTCCCTTTTCCACTCCCCCTGCTTGTGTTCCTGCTCTTCCTCTCTCTGTCAAATAAATAAATAAAATCTTCAAAAAAAAAAAAAGATTATTTATTTATTTGAGACAGAGAGAGAATGAGTAGGGGTGGGGGAGGGGCAGAGGGAGAAGCAGACCCCCGCTGAACAGGGAGCCTGACATGGGGCTCAGTCCCAGAACCCTGGGATCCTGACCTGAGCCAGAGGCAGACACTTAACTAACTGAGCCACCCAGGCGCCCCTGTGATCATAGTCTTAAGAGCTCTTTCTAATTTTTTCCATGTTTCTTTTTTATACCATCCTGTTGTTTCATGTCTATATGATCTTCTCTTACTTGAGGATATTCATTATTGTATTTTTGAACTTTTACTCTGTTCAGTTTCTCAGTTTCCTATTTGTTTTGGTCTCTGACTTTCATGTTAGAGGCTTTTATTCTGTGTCTGATGAATATTTAAGAATAAATTAATGAAAGCTCTGTGTGCATGGCTGGGCCTTGTGAGCTGTAGACTTCACTCTGAGGATATTGGGTAGGAACCTAGTGGTCTCTTTGGAGGACTCCCAAAACATCAGTATGGAAAGTCTTCTCTCTGGAGAAGACTGGGTGGAGGAAATTGGGAGATGATCTAAGGGTCCTCACATGGGTTTTCACTCAATTCCTCTCTGTTCATTTTTCTGTGGTACCTAAATTGTCAATTCCTGAGCCCTTCTGGGGTTCTGCAGTGTGAATCGGTTTGCTTTTCATGGGGGGTTCCCTCTTTTAGCACTTGGTATTCAGCTCCCTTGAATTCTTCCATCTGCCTTCTCTTTTCCAGAAATTGTGGTTACCTTTGTCTGCTTCCCAGTTCTCTTTGCCCTTGGGAGTTCCCTTTCTTTCTCCCCTCCCTCCCTTCCTTTTTATCTCATTTAGTAGTATTTTAGATGGGACCACAAATAAGCATGTGTTTAATTTTCCACATTTAACTGGAAGACCAACTCCAGAATCACCTTTATTAATCCAGATTATCCTCATTTCCTGTTGTCACTCATGGCACAGCAAAGTCTGCCACCTGCCATGCCACCAAATCTCCTTGACTATTTTAGTTGCTTATTTCTGGATGCCCTCCTGCTTCAGAGTACTGTCTTTGCTGTTCTGAGCATGGGAAAGGTATGATTTTGTACAAAGAATGCATTTTCCTTTTTAAGTATATTGCCCTCTGATAAAAACCCAGTGTCATGGCCATGGAAACCCAGTCCCAGAAGTATACTGCATCCCCACAGGGTTCTTCAAAGGGCATTAGCTTCCCCCATCTCGTCCTTCCCTTTCACTGGTCTTTGTCCTCACAGGCCGAAGATGTGATGAAGAAGAAAGCTCGGGCCACCGCTGAAGTGAGCAGCAGGAAATGCCAACAAGCCCTGGCAGAACTGGAGAGTGTCCTCAGCCATCTAGAGGGTTTCTTTGCCCGGACATTAGTACCCCGCGTGCTTATCCTCCTTGGTGGCAGTGCCTTAAGTCCCAAGGAGTTCTACGAGCTTGACTTGTCCCGCTTGGCCCCCAACAGCATGGACCAGAGCCTGAGCACAGCAGCTTGTTTGCGCCGTCTCTTCCGAGCCATTTTCATGGCTGATGCCTTCAGTGAGCTCCAGGCTCCTCCGCTCATGGGCACCATTGTCATGGCACAGGGGCACCGGGACTGTGGAGAAGATTGGTTTCGACCCAAGCTCAACTACCGAGTGCCCACCCGTGGCCACAAACTGACTGTGACCCTGTCCTGTGGCAGACCCTCTATCCCAGCCACGGCCTGGGAGGATTACATTTGGTTCCAGGCACCAGTGACACTTAAAGGCTTCCATGAGTGAATGGGGGTGCTTCTTCATCGTGAACACAATGGCTTAAATGATCTTTGCCCCTGTGGCATCAAGTCACCCATCTCTTGCTTGGAGCTGGAGTTGCTTCCTGGTGAGAGGAATGTTCTGTCCTTCCAGCTGCCTGCCTCCCCTCCTTAGACTTCCTGGTGGGCTGGTTTTGTGGCTGTGGCTGTCATAATTATCACTGAACACATCTCTCTGAATCGAAGGTTGGTTTTCCCAGAAGGTGCTGGGTCAGGCATTTCTGTTCGGGTTGGAAAGCAAATGTGGGCCCATAGACAGACACTCTTATGGAAGTGGTCCTATTACGCTTTTTGCTGTGGTCTTTCAGAATTTTTACTAGGGACATAATGAAGTTGAATATAAAAAAAATGAATGGATTTGCATTAAATTATCCAGTAACTCTTGGCTTAAAGATTTCCAGGGTTAAGATTATTTTGTCTTTCTCCTTGGCCTCTTATGCTTCAGGGCTTCTAGGATTTTTTTTTTTTAACTGATGGTTCTTTCTCTTCATCAGCCCTAGGCCCATCTGGGAAGTGAAGGGACTTGGCTAAGGTTCTGTAACACTTTGATGTCAGAGTTGGGACTAGAGTCCTCATCAGCTACCCGCTAGCCTGACCTCCTTTCCTTGCCACATAGGGGTTTTTGTGATCATTACGGTATGTGTGCCAAAGGTCACACAGGGGAAAAGGGGCTGAGAGAATCGGCTGAGAAAGGAAAACTGAGAGGGCCTTTGCAAAGCTGCAAACCCGCGGGAACAGCTCCCGAGGCCAGCTGTCCCTTCGGGGATTCTGCCTAGCCTGTCTGCATTGCCGTCGTCTGGTGGCCGCGGGCAGTCCCTGTTGGCCACACTGTCCTTAGGCACACCCCACTCTCCCACCTGCGGCACTTCCCCTCAGCTGCGCCTCTGACTTGGCCATCCTGATCTTTGCTCTTCTCTGGCTTGTTGCCATCCTGACTGCTAAGCATTGATGCTTTTGTCCCTGAGAACACCTGCTTGTTTCTTGGAAGCAAGTTGAAGACAGAGTCCTTACCCTGCTGGTGTTGGAGATAGGCAGGTTTGTGTGTGTGTGTGTGTGTGTGTGTGTGTGTGTGTAAATGGGGACAGTATAAATATATACTATTTTTTATGTTTTACGAAGAATGTTTTATGGTAAGAAAACATAAAACATGGTTTAAATTTTATACTGTGTTTTAAGCACTTTACATACATGATCTCATGTAACAACCTTCCACAGTATGTGTTGTTCCCATCTTACAGATGAGGGTTGGGAAATAGAATAACTTGCCTATGTGGTGAAACCTGGATTCTAACCCAGTCCACCCGGCTCCAGAGGCTGAGTACTGTACATTGTGCTGTATGGCCTGTGTGGTTTTACTCTGAGATAAGCAGGCTCACTCTGCCAAAGGTGGTAGCATTGGAAATCTGCAGGACTCCCTTTCCTGGCTTCAGACCATGGTTCCTGACAAGGAAGCTGCCGGTAATAAGTGGTCAGTACATATGGAATCAGTGAGGACAAAAGGTTTGGGTGATTTTTGGTGCTGTGACCACTTGAAGCATATTCCACCAGTTAGAATTTCAGCTGGTTTTTGGTTTGAGGATACTGCATTACAAAAGAGGAACTGGGGCCATATCCTACTTGGGAATGGACAGGGTGAGGGCTCTACGGGGAGGAAGAGTTTTGGACAAGGGAGTTAGATTGTTCTGAGATGGAAAACACCTTAGGCCAAGTCAGCTCCCTCAAATTGTAAAAGCCTTCATAAGCAATGCCCAGATAATCAAAACAAAGTAATTATCTGGGTAATTTAGACACTTATTTCTCTCTTGGCTTGGCACGGGGGACCACGTCATTCTGATTGCATGAGTCCTCTCCAAAGGAATCCAGAAATGAAAAGGTCAGTTAATATTAACAACAGGCTGTTGGGCTCCCTGCTCAGTGGGGAGTCTGCTTCTCCCTCTCCCCCTGTTCATGCCCTCTCTCTGTTTCTCTCTCTCTCTCCCTCTCTCAAATAAATAAATAAAATCTTAAAAAATTCAACACATCCCATCTCTTTCCTTGACAACAGGCTTGCTGAGGCATCTGTTCACCTGTTTGACCTTGGCTGGGGACTCTGGAGTTGGATGTGACGTAGTCTCTAACCCAGGGAGTGAAAAGCCCCAGCTGCAGTAGGGTTCTGGCCTTTTCTATGTTGCTACCATTTGGGCCTAAAAGCAACAGTTGTAGGGCCGAGGTAGCTAAATGTAGGTGGCAGGTGATGTCATCCTTTTTGTACTTCTCTTCACACCCTGCTCCCCCAAGGTGTGGGCCTTGCCCCAGTGCCTAGGTCTCCATTTGTCACTTGGGTGGAATAGTCCTATGGAAGGGGTGAAGAGAGACATCTCATGAAGACTGAGGAGAATGGAACGATGGACCCCCCCCCCCCACTCTGTAGGACCTGGCTTGGGGTGGGGGTTAATTGTCTTAGATTCCTAGACTGTTAGAGCCAAGATCTCAAATTCTTTTCTTCACACAATTCTGAGGCCAAGAAGGGACACAACTGGAGTGAAATAATACAGCTAACGTTACTGTTGGGTTATTTTTCTTCCCAAGCCCTCATTGCATATACGGTGAGGACTCAATTATTCAACTCTTGGAAAGGCTCAGAAAAGGCAAAAATATCCATGGAACTGGGGACCTTCAATCCCACACGGTAGGCTACCTATGTTAGGGGAAACCACGCCGTTACCGTGACAGCAGAACACGTGCGGTCCCCAACGCGGGAAGGACCGAGGACAGGAGCCAGTGTGTGCCCAGACTTGGGGAAGGAAGGGCTGTGTCGGGAGCAGGGCGGGCCTGAGGTTCCGGGAGGGCGGGGCCGGGGGCGGCCGGGTGGGTGGAATCCTTCCTGCCCGACGGAAGGGCAGAGCTTTAGGTCTCCATGGAGACAGCTTCTCCTGGCAACCTGGCGGGCGTTGATCAGAGCCGTGGGCGCAATGGACGCGGAGAGCCTCCTGCTGTCGCTGGAGCTGGCGTCCGGCAGCGGGCAGGGCCTCAGCCCCGACCGTCGGGCCTCGCTGCTCACCTCCCTTACGCTGGTGAAGCGCGACTACCGCTACGATCGGGTCCTCTTCTGGGGCCGCATCCTCGGCCTCGTCGCCGATTACTACATCGCGCAGGGCCTGAGTGAGGACCAGCTCGCACCACGCAAGACTCTCTACAGGTTGAGGCGACGCCCTAGCAGGCCGCGGCGGTCCCTGGCTCCTGAAGGGGGCGCCACCGGGCGGCCGGGAAGGGGTGGGCGTGGTAGGGCTCGAAAGGGGTGGGGCCGACGGGCTCCGGGCAGCGGGTGGACAGGGTCTGGGGAGACCCAATTGGAGAAGGGCCCAGGGGGCGGGGCCGGGGACGCAACTAAGCTGGTGAGGATTAAGGGGCCGGGACCTGAGAACATCGCGGAGCAGGGGCGGGGGGAGAGAAATTTGGACGTAGGTGGGCTTATAATACAGACAGGGTCAAGAACCGAGGCGGAGCAAGGTGAAAGGTCCCGGAGAATGGGGACCTGGAGTAGACGCCGGGTGCAGGCCTGGCATTCTGAAGAGCACAGCTTGGAGAAGGGTCAGAAGCCCTAAAGGGTAATGAGGTGCTGTTTGGAGGCGGGTCCAGAAGTATCTTCGGTGGAGGAGTTGGCTCACAAAAGGAGGCGCTCTAGGAAGTAGAGAACGAATGCAGAAAGGGAGAGGAGGGATTTAGAACTGGGGGAAGTTCCCCAGACGCTACCTTCCCTGCAAGGCCACCCCGCCTCTTTCTTGACTACCCCCAGCGACGTCGGGAAGCTCACCACCTTACAAAACAAGCCATTCAAGCGGCAGGGAGTTGGAGATTTCATTTATCTGTCCATGCATCAATCCAACATTGATTGGAGGCATTCTTTGTAGACTTGGGGTTACAAAGATGGCTAAGACTCACCTGTCTCCAAGTTATTCACATCCTAGGAAGGAAGACCGATATGTAACCCAGCAATTAAAGCAAAGTGTTAATCCCAGGATAGAGGGGTATGCAAAGGGGGACCGAGGGGGGCCTTCTAGAGAGCAATGAAATAAAAATTGCTAAGAGAGATCTGAAAGTTGATCCGGAGTTCCCCAGGAAGGTGTGGGGGAAAGGCATGCCAGTTAGAGGGAAGAGTTCTGCAAACTTGGCTGGAGTGGGCTTGGAGTGTTTGGGAGAACGGCAGGTAGGTAAACCTGACAATGGCAGGCCAGGGTGTTACGTAGACTGGATGGAGAGTCTGGGGATTTGTTCAGGGGCTATGGAGAGCTGGAGAGCCATTCAGGGACCTTAAACAAGAAGAGCCTGCTCAGGCCAGCCTGAAGTGGGTGAGCATCCAGGAGACTGTTGCAGTGTCCAAATGAAGGAGACTGCAAGGGAGAGGTAGCTGAGGGACTGTAGGTCAGGGGATGGGTTGGAAAGATGTAAGCGGTGGCACTGGCCAGACTTGGGCCTGAATGGGAGAGGTGGAGAAGCTAAGGCGGCTGGGTTAGTCCTAGTGCCACTCACTGGAACAGAATTCAGGAAGCAGGACTAGGAAAGCCTCATTGAACTTGGTATGAGGTGACTGTGGGGGGCGGGTCAGGGTCATAAGGAGGCATATTAAAGTACAAACCCAGAGTCCAGACAAAACATCTGGACTGAAGATAGAGATTTGGGACTCATTTTATTCCATAAGTTTTTATTTCTTCAGCACCTACTATGTGCCAGGCATTGATCCAGGCACAAGGAATTCAGTGGTAAATGAGACAAAGTCCTTGTCTTCATGGAGTCTATATTATAGTGTGTGGGGGTGGGGGGGGAGGGGAGACAATAAATAAACACAAAGATCGCAGATCTAGAGAATACAGGATGCGGTACTGTTTTAAATAGGATGGTCGGAGATAGTCTCTCTGATAAGGTAACATATGTGAAGAGACCTGAAGCAACTGAGTGAGCTCTGTGTTCATCTGAGGGAAGAGAATTCCAGGCAAGCGCAAAGGCCCTGAGGCAGATGTGTACTTAGTGTTGGTCGAAACCCTTAGAGTCTAGTGTGGCTGGAGAGGAGGGAACATTATAGGACATGAGGTCAGAGAGGTAAGGGACCAGAGGGCTTTGTGGGGCATTGCAAGGACTTGACTCAATGGGAAGTCTTCGGAAGCTTCTACACAGAGACATGATCTGGCAGCTGGGTGGGAACTAGACTGAAAGGGGAGCAGGTATGGATTTGGGGAGACCAGTTAGGAGGTTACCGTTGTATCTAGGTAAGAGTAGATAGGGGCTTGGACCAGCAGGGGGCAGTGGAGGTGGTGAGAGGTGGTTGGGTTCTGGATACCAACTAGGCAGTAGCTAGGGCCTTGGGAGTCAGGTGGGCCAGCCTGCAGAGAGAAAAGAGGGGTGAGAATAGATCCCTGGGAATGCTTAGGGCAGTGGAGGAGAGAGAAGGGAGATGCATTTGTTGGTTTTTAGGTCCTGAGGATGTCCTCCTAAGCAGTTTTGTGGGGTGGCAGGGGCAGAAGTGACCGTGTAGTGGGCAGAGTGAAGGTGAGGGGAGGAAAGGCTTCCACGGGGCCAGTTGTTCTGAGATTATTGTTTAGAACTGGAGGAGAGGAGTGAGGGACGGGAAAAGACTATTTTCTAGCAGGGCATGCCTTTCAGGGCTGTTGTTTTAGAAAGCTGAGAAGTTTTGATGTTGAGAAAGGAGCCCGTGGAGAGTTCTAGAAGGGTGGAAAGGTAAGCAGGCCTACCCCAACAGGCTGAGTGGGTTGGAGAGGAGTGGGAGGACGCCCTCTCCTGGCAGGAGTGGGGAGGAAGGGACTGGGCTGGTCAGTGCTGGAGATCTCAGAGGACAGGTCCTGGAGCCTGGGACCGGCTTTCCTGAGAAATGGGGGAATGTGGCCATGCTGTTGGCTCAGTAGGCAGGCGGAGCATGAATTTGGGGCCTACCAAAACAGAAGCGCTTGTAATTGAGGAAAGTTCAGCTTCTAGAAGCTCATCAGGAATTTCACAGTGCAGTTATCTAGGAAAAAGCTTTTTGGAATTTTGGTATTTACAAAGCTTTTGTGACCTTGACTTTTGATGAAATAAATTTGAATTTGCCTCACATACGGGGGTAGGGTGCACCACAGGCACTTAGGCCTTGGAAGGGGAGAGGTGTGACTCCCAACATTTTTCTTGGGCTTCATCCTCAAGAGAAGGGGTGGTGGCAGGAAGCCTGGAAACCAGGATCATGGGGATGTCATTGGCAGCCTGAACTGCATGGAGTGGAGCCTCTTGCCCCCGGCCACGGAGGATATGGTGCTGCAGACGTCTGTGGTGAAGGGCCGCTTCATGGGGGACCCCTCGCATGAATATGAACACACTGAGCTGCAGAAGATGAGTGAGGGTGAAAAGGTCTTTGAAGAAGAAGTAGTGGTGAGTGAAGACGAGAGCAGGAGGACAGAGAGAGCCTGGGCCATCCAAAGCCCAGCCCAATAGAAATTACGGGGGCAATAGCATAAAGCCACACAGCTCCTGTGTGACAGGGTGGAGAGTGGACGGGCCGCTCTGTCGGGAGCCTGGCTCTGGGCGGGGGCTGGGGGAGGGGGTCTGTGTTGTGCTATGGGGTAATGGGATGTGCACAGGCTCTCGTATCTATCAGTTTTTATTTTACTGGATAATATATCCACATGATTTGCAATTTGAAGGCACAAAGAGGAATTTAGCAAAGTGCCCCTCTCATCCCTGTCTGCCAGTCCCCCAGGTCCTCTTTCTGGGGGACATTAACGTAACCCATTTTGCATGTGTGTGCATGCCCACGTCTTGCTACGCAAAGTGCTGTCTGGATCAGAAGCATCACCACGGCCTGGGAGTTAGAAATGCACACTCTCCAGCTGGTATCGGGATCGGAATTTTTAACATAGTCCCAGGGGATTCGAATACACATTAAAGTTTCAGAAGCTCTACTCCCAGAGATATTTGATGCAAATACAAGCCTCAGCAAACACCTGACCCCTACATAGTCTCTTTTGATCTTAAGACAAAACAAATGGCAGACGTTACGCACACAGTTCTGCATCTTGCTTTTCTCACCTAATATGTTTTGGAGCTCTTTCTATGTCAGTACTCTAAAGAGCCTCCCCTATTGTTTTTACTGTGTGTGAATGTCCCACAGTCGGACCCGTGTCTTCGTCGTGGAAATGCATGACGTCTCCGAGTTGTAGCTCTGACAGGCAGTGCCACCCCAAATGACCTTGTATGTGGTGTCACTTCCAACATGTGTATGCCCTCTGAAGTTTCAGTTCCTAGAAATGGAACTGCTGGGTCAAAAAATACGGAGTGCAAATTTTGAAACTAGACAAACCTGGAGTTCAAAGCACAGCCTGTGCCCTTGAACCTGGGTGAGGCCAAAAGTCTCAGTCGAGGCCTATGATGCCTCAACTTCCGTCCCCACCCCTCTCCCCCACCCCACCTGCCAAACTCGACCTCCCTGAGGTGTATTTTCTCAAACAATGGGATAATTGTATCTACTTCGTAATCTTGTACAGGTTAAATGAAGCAACCTATGTGAAGGCCCTGGGCTAGGCATGTGTAAAGCATTCGTTTCCATCGAATGTGTAAAAATTCCAGTGGGCAGCTCCGGGGAAATAGGTGGCGGAGTGACTCTCAGGGCCCCTGGTGACACGTTTTCCCTGTCAAGTGCTGCTTTTCTCTAGACATTGCTGCGAAGTCCTTTTATTCAGGGTTGCCCTTGATATTGATTGTAACCAATTTCATCCGCATGAAAATGTTATAATATGGGGTGGTGCTTGAGAGATGTTAAGTCAAAGCATAGGATCTGAAACTATATGAACTGAGACTCTTGTTTTAAATATATGCACAGAAAAGAGAATAGAAGGAAGTATGCCAATATGTTATTAGTGATTATCTTTAGGAGGTGGATGATGAATGGTTTTAATTCTTTGTGGAGTATATTATAAACTATTTCTATATTACCTAAATATTCTACAGTGATCAGGATTGCGTTTATATTTTAAAAAGGCAAAATAAGCAACATTTACATATGATGATAGGATGGTATGTTTCTGGAAGAGTACATAAAAAACCATTAACAGTGGTTGCCTCCAATGAGGGCAGTTGGAGGGTCGGGGATGGGGTGAGAGAGACTGCTATTTTTTTTTTTTTTTGTAGTTTTAAATATTGCACCATCAGTATGTATTACCAGTTTAAAAGAGAGAGGAATGAAGGAAGAGAAGGAAGGGAGGGAGTGAGAGAGGGAATCTTGAGAGGAGGAAAGGCGAGGGCTTGCCCAACATGATTTTCCATGGACTTGGCATCTACGTGGTGGTGATCCAGGTCAGGTGGTCATGCAGAGGGCCCTTGCACCAGGGGTGAGTGGGCACAGCACTCTCGCAGGTTGGCTTGTCTCCTGTCTCCTCAGGTCCAGATCAAGGAAGAGACCCGCTTGGTGTCTGTCATTGACCAGATTGACAAGGCTGTGGCAGTCATCCCCCGAGGAGCCCTTTTTAAGACCCCTTTTGGACCTATCCACGTCAATCGGACCTTTGAAGGTGAGGTCTCCAGGGCCCCTCTCAAGGGCAGGAGGGCATCTCTTCCCAAGCATAGTCAGACACATTTCTGGGAGTCCTGGGGAACCTGTCCCACTTCCTCAGAGAAAGACCAGCTGTGGCCATATCACTTGGGAGGATGTCCTCCATGGCCTGGCATTGGTGGGTTGGCATGGGCTGCCCAGTCACTGGACCCTGACTCTTTTCTGCCTGAGGGTAGGAGAGCATTTGGCCATCTGGGTCCCAGGGCTTGGCCATCTGGGCTCCCTGCCTTTCCCACCTTCTTCCTCTTTGGTGTCTTCTCATCGCAGGGTCTGGAGCAAGGCTGGGCTGACAAAACACAACTCCCTTTTCTCCCTTTAGTTCTGTCAGTATCTGACTGAGTCCTTTGCAGGCCTCTCCATGTGGTCCTCATGCAGGGAGAAAGGGAGGCTGTGGGGTTTGGGCACGACCATCCCTTCCTACCTACCACCTCTTTTTAGGACTGTCCTTATCTGAAGCCAAGAAGCTTAGTTCCTACTTCCACTTCAGGGAGCCTGTTGAGCTGAAGAACAAGACGTTGCTTGAGAAGGCTGACCTGGACCCCTCCCTGGACTTCATGGACTCCTTAGAGCATGACATCCCCAAAGGTACTAGCCTATGACTTGGAGGACATTGGATCTGCCTCCAGGTCAGAGCAGTGGGTCATGCCACCTGCCATTCTCCTCTGAGATTGGAACCAAGGGCCCGAGTGGGAACTGGTGGTTCACTGGGGTTCCCTGAGGGTGGGGGCTTCCCCAGGGCCCAATCCAGGGCTCGGCTCATAATAAACAGTTGGTACATGTCTTCAGACAAAAGGAGGCACTGTCTTCCATGTGATTCCACACACAGGAAGTCTCTCAGTGCCTCTCTTGATTTCCATACCAGTCTTGAAGGAGGCAGGCTGGGGATCCTCTCCCAAACATCGCTGAAAACATCCCTGAAAATACTAGCCACACGTCTATCCTAACTGTCAGTTTTGGGGATAGATCCAGTGCTCGGCACGTAGCCGGTGCTCGGGGAGTGGGTGCTGAGCGACTGAAGGGCAAACCACCTGCTAAGGAAATGAGTTCTGTACATTTGCTTCCCGCTATGTGCGGGGTAGGTTTTAATCTTAAAACGTACAGCCTCAGAGGTCTTTCAGGGCCCAGCCGGCCCAGGCACACCCCCAGCAGTTGGGGGGTGGGGGCACAGGGACCCCATTTCCTTCCCCCGAGCTGTGCCAGTAGAGAAGTGTGTGTCCTGGGAAGACGCTCTTGCTTGGAGGCTGTCTGCCAGAACAGGTGCCAGGCTCTGGGCAGGTGGGGCCGAGGCCCTGGGTGCTGAGACAGCACCCTGCCTCGTTCCCTCCCCACGTTTGGGGTTTCTGAGCACTGCAGGGACCTGCTATGGATGCCGGCAGTGCTAACGAGGATAATGACAGGAATGGTGACTCCTGAGAGTGATGGCCCTGCTTGCTGTGCACAGGGCGCTGTGCTCAGCCCCCTCCATGCCTTATCTCACGTTCCCCCTCACAGCCACCCTGGGAGGGCCGCTGTTTCATCCCTGTTTTACAGGTGAGGAAGCAGGCTCGGACAGTGAAACCCAAGGACAGACACAGTGAGCCTTAGTCTCCAGGGCTCTGGCATGAACTGTGGTGTCAAGTAGATGAGTGTTTCCTTTTCAGTGGACAGTGGGGACGGCAGGACAATCTTTGCCCCCACCATGAGGGGGACCACTTCTGGGGAGCATGTGCACTCCCAGCCAGGGGGAGGGGATGGGATGGCGGAGGCAGGGACTCTGGCATCAGACAGCCTCGGCTGGGATCCCAAATCTGCCACTCGCTAGCTGTGTGATCCCAGGGCAGGCCCCCCACTTTCCTTGTGCCTCCATTCCCTCATTCCTAAAAGGGAATATTGGTATTTTTCACCTCATTGGGCTGTTCTGAGAATGGAATGAGTCAATGGATATACAAGATGTTTCTAGCAGGGCCTACCACATAGTAAGGACTCAAATGAAAATTAGTCATTATTACTAGTGTTATTTTTAGTGGCAAAAAGGCCTCAGAGGGGAGTCAGAGCAGGCCAAGAGGACCGAGGAAGCCAAGGGGTAGGAGGCCTACAGCAAGGCGGTGGGAGCTGTGACAATAAGGTGCACAGAAGGACGGAATGGGGCCAGGTAGGGATCTGGAGGCCATTTCATGGCTCCTGCAGTGCCCCAGGGGCCGGGCAATGGTCCCAAGCGGCTAAGGGCTGCCAGCAAGGAATGGCCACTCTGGCCTCTGCCACATGGGGGTCCCAAGTCAAACCTCCCTGAGCATAGCACGGGCCTCCTGGACCTGCAGGGGAGATAAAGAAGGTTGGTAGGGGCTGGGGCACTTCTCCCCCACAAGACACGCTTTCCAGACTCCCGTTATCTCCCCCAACTCTGTGCTCCCAGCCTGGCTGGAAGCCAGAGTGGCCTGCACATCCCTGGTGGATACAGGAAGCCAGCAACACTGTGGTGGTGGGACACAGCACCAGGGTCTGAGGGGCGGGCTGAGAAAAGTCCTCCTCATACTGCTAATCTGGGGGCTGTAGCCCTGCTCTGCTGAATCTGGGCATGGCTGGAAAGCCCTGCTCCAGGGCTCACCTGCAGCCGGATGCTCCAGGGCCCAGGGATGCTGCACTCCCTCCGCAGTGCTGGCTGACTAGGGGACTGACCCAAGAGTGCCTCCTTCCCTTTGGAGCTTCATCCTCTGCGGTGGGAGCAGGGAGGGGTGTGCCAGGGCCTTTGCAGCCAAGACCAAAGCCAGCTAGATGGGGTGTGGGGACCCAGCAAAGTCTACCTAAGGGAACCCCAGCAACCCTGTCTGCCCTTTCATTTTGGATAAAGGGGACACAGGAGGTAGCTGTCTCTCCCTGCAGCTGGGGTTGTAAGCTATGGAAATTTGGGGGATCTTCCTAAAGGATGCTGGGGCCACCCTGATGTGTCTAGTCGGCAAGTGAATTCATCAGGAGGTAAGAACCTGGGCCTGGGAGCTAGGTGAGCTGCAGTGGCCTGAGGCCCTAGACATCCTGCCCATACGGCGGGCCTCAGGGCTGAAGGATCAACTGATGGTTCAGTCTGCCCTGGCGTATGGCTTTGCCTTCAGTGCTGGAGACTTCGTGGCTGAGGGCTCCTGGCATCTGTGTGTGTGGGCCTGAGGGGGGATGCTCCTGGCCTCACCTTGGGGAACATGACAGCTTCTGGGCCTCCAGCCCCCTGCCTCCCAGAGCCACTATCAGAAAACCTCCAGGCAGTCAGGCCCAGCTTTTCCTCATGATGACTTGGTTGGGGCTGTGGTGTTGGGGGTGGTGGTGGAAGTGTGGGTGGTCCAGGGAAGAGTGCACACTCAGATTTTGCTCCCGGACTCCCTTCCTTACCTGCCAGTGAAGGAGCAGAAAGAGCTGCTGGGAGGCTGCCTGCAAGGCAGACAGCAGCCTCAATGGGCCTGGCTGCGAAGTAGGGCCAAAATCCCAGGGAAGGGTTCCCTGGGACACCAGCACTGGCTGGAGGAGTGGAATTTGACAGTCGTTTTCTGCCCGGGTAGGATAATTGTTTCCTTTCTGGGACAGAGGCAATTGTTCAGGGGGACTTTGGGTCACCTGTTAGCAGGGATGGTTTAGGTTGGGCCTGCCCCGGGGACTCCTGTTCTCTGTGCGCGTGGAGGTAGGCCAGCTCAGCAGCTTGTTCCTGGACCAGCCATGGTTGCAGACAGGATGGGGAGGGATGTTGCCTACTACCACCAATGCCTTCCTGAGCCATCCTGCCTTGCCCTGGGGTCTGCAGAGTTTTGTGGGAGTGGGTAGCTTTGGGCGCAGAACCATCATCCTGGTGGATGAAGGGCCAGCCAGGAGTTCTCTGAGCCTGTCTCTGAGCAGTCAGCTGAGGCAGATGGAGCACCAGGTCGGGCCAGATTTCTAGGCAGCACTCCGTTCAGTGCTCCTCAGCAGATAGCCACTGAGCAGGTACTGCGTGCCAGGCAGCAGGATGCCCTCGCCCACCAGACACTGCCCTTGCCTCACAGAGGTTTGGGAAGATCACATGAAACAGGATGGGAAGTGGAAATGTGAAATAGAAGGTGCCTCACGAACAAGGTCACTGGTGTCCTGGGAAGCAGAGCCGGGTATGGGGGGGTGGAGGGCAGAGGCTCTCTCCTTACTCCACTCAGGGGCTGGAGCCCACGGATCTCAGGAACCGCCGGCCCCGGGGCTGCGCGGCTGCCGCATTCGGGAGCCAGGCAGCAATGCCCAGTTCAGGCAGCAGAGGGCAGCATGGGGCCTGCCTGCCGGCCTGGTGAGGAGGAGGCGGGCGACGGGGGAGTCAGGAACACTGGAACCAGGAAGGGAACACCGTGGCAGATCAGCTTTCTCTTGGGGGTGTGTGCAGGTGGCTCCTCCCACCCAGCCCTTTGGAAGCCTGGCTGACAGGTGCTTAGCCTTCTGGACCAGGAGGCCCGGCCTTGCCCATCGAGTAGGGCACTCTTCCATCAGGGGATTTGACCATAACTTGTGGCCCTGGTGGGGGGAGGGGGGAGTGACCACCCTGAGAGAAGTGACCGATGGCCATTTCTGTGTGTGTGACCAGTTGTGTGGGGCTGGTCTGAAGAGAAAGTGTAAAACCATCTGCTGTGGCTGGAGAGCCCCGACCCCCGGTCTGGCCCACTCCCTCCCTCAAACGCCATCTCAGAGCTTTGCTGCGTTTCTTCCAGGAGGGCACGCGAATGTAATCATGATGCGCATGGCTGCCCGAGGCTAGCCTGAGGCTTCCACTAGCCCTATGAGACCCCTGGGGCCCACGCAACCCAGGAGGACTTCCTGACAAGAGGCTCCATCCCTGATTTACCTGCTTGCCCCCCACCACATCCTCAAAATACAGCTCGTTAGAGAAGAGTGGCTGCCAGAGGGCAGGAGGGAAGTTTTGGGGAGACTTAGGAGAGACCAAGGCCACAGGAGGCTGCTTCCCCTGGAGTCTGAGAGGAGGCGGTGGCAGTGGCTGGGCCCGGCCTTTCCAGCAATTGCAATACAAGTGGGTGAAGGTGACAGTGGGTGCCGGGCTCTCCAGGTAGACGCTACGTGACTCCTGGCACGTTGAGAGTCTGTGCGCGTGTGTGTGTTTCCTGGGCGACCAGCTGAGCCAGGGACAAGGAGAGGAGGACAGGAGTGTGACAGGAATGCAAGGGAGGGAGGGAGGCAGTGCTGCTGGCTGGCCGGCCCCTCACATGCCACTTCCATTCGCCGCCAGCACCCTTCAGCCTGCTTGGCGCTGCCCCCTTGCCCCGGTGGGGGTACTGCATTTCTCTGGCATCCCTGCCAGCTCCCCCTTGCTCTCGGTGGGGGCTGGGGGTGCCCTGCTCAGTCTGGGCCCCTTCATCTACTGGAGGCAGGAGGTAGGAGGTGGCCAAGGTTGTGCGAGGGAAGGTCAGCCCTCGCCAGGGTGTGCCAAGGTGCTGGTGACTGTGAACTTGAGAGCGAGGCCTCCGGGGTTTCATTTCTTTCAGGGCATTTGGGCCCAGGCAGGTTGTAAGCTGCCCTCCTGGGTGGGCAGAGAGAAGTGAGGCAGAGCCTGACCTGCTTTCAGTTCAAGAGAGCTGTGTGGCTGTGGGCTCCGAGGGCAGGGACTGTCCCCAGATGATGCTCTGGGCACTGGTGGGAGTGACTGGATGGTGGGGGGGGGGGCGGTTGGGAACGTACCTTCCTGGGGTCTGTTCTTCTGGCCAAAAGCTGAATGCCATGCACTGGGGACACTTTGTTCTGTCACACCCTCACTCCCATTCCCCCCAGGCAATCTGTTTTCTGTAACGAGCGACTGGGAAAGCAGCAGGCTAGGGCCTCTAGAACTCTGAGGGCAGGTCTGGGAGGTGGACGACCTCAGGTGCTCAGAGAGGAAAGTTGTAGGAGCCAGGGGAAACACTACCCCCTTCTCTGGCCAGGAAAGGGCCCCCTCTTCCCAGTGTCCCAGCCAGAGCTCTGGTAACCCAGGGGCCCTCTTCTCTCTCGATGCCATCTGGCCGGCACTGTGTGGGCCTGGGAGCGGGATGAAGGCCACACTGTGGCTTCCACTGCACCTTCTCCTGAACAGGTGGTGGTGGCACTTGGTGCCGGCTGACCTACATGCACCTGGAAAGCTCTGGCTTTGACCCGGGCAGGTGGCACCCTGAGCAGGACTGAGCTGCTATGGGGCCCCAGGGCGCCTGGGGGTCAGGTCTCTCAGATGCAGGGTGGCCCCTGATGGGTGGGGACGGAGCCGTGAGGCTGTTGGGTGTGGAGTGACCAGGGTGGGCCATGGCGGGAGGAGGCCTGTGGGAAGCTGGGGTGGTGGGAGCCAAGCAGCCGGGCTGAGCTGGCAGCGGATGAAGGCCTCGGCGCATCACTGGCTGTTCCAACACCAAAACCTTCAAAGCCTTTGCCTTTCTGGCAGGGCCTGGAGCAGAGCTGCGGCTGGGCCGGGGAGAGGCCTCAGTGCGCAGGGGAATAGAAGCTCCAGATCTGCATCCAGAGGCGATTTTCCCAGGCTCCTTCCTCCCACACAGGGTCTCCCTCCCTTGGTTCTGGAGCCGGATCAGGCCCTTCCCGCCAAGTCCTCATGGCTGCACAACTCAGCCCCAGGCTGGGCTGCTCCTGTCTGGGGAGCAAAAATCCAGGGCAGAACCCAGCATGGACAAAGGCTCATTAGCTGCAGCCCAAGTCCCCTCCTGCCAAGCATGGCTCCCAGTCCGCCGGCTGCCAGTCCGGGCTATTGAGCTGGGAGGCCTGAAACAGCTCAACTTCTGTGCGCCCCTGGTCAGGTCTAATCCATCTCAGAGCAGAGGCTTCTGGGACTGGGGACGAGAGAGTAAAGGGGCAAGAAGGGCAAACTGCGTCAGGACTGCAGGTCACCGATGACGGGCTGCCCCTCGTATTGAGTGGGGAAGCCTGGAGAGAGCCTCTCCTAGCTGGGCCCCATCTCTCCCGCCTGTGGACTCCCGCTTCCTCCCCCATTCAACCTTTAACTAGCCTTGCTGACAGGAACAAAATGAAGCGGGGTGGGCTTCACCTCTTTTCATTTCCTTTGCCCTCCCTCTGGAAGTGGTTTTAATGAGCAGTGAAACGGCTAAAAGGCAATCAGGAGGAGTAAGTGCCGGATAATTAAATTGTCTTCCCTTTCCCAGTGGAACCGTAGCACCCCGGCCAGGCTGCCCAAGGGGCTGGGGGGCCTCTGCAGAGGGCAGAGCTGTGGCTCCCCAGCACTCAGGCCTCCCCTCCTGTCCGCCTCCTCCCAGGGTCCTGGAGCATCCAGATGGAGAGGGGCAACGCCCTGGTGGTGCTGCGCAGCTTACTCTGGCCAGGCCTCACCTTCTTCCATGCTCCCCGCACCAAGAGCTGTGGCTCGATCTACGTGGGCACCGGCGAGAAGAACATAGACCTCCCCTTTATGCTGTAGCAGGGGCCGGCCAGGGGGAGTGTATTAGAGTCTAAATGTTACTTTCATAAATGGCTGTGAATTTGGTCTGTTTGTTCTGTCCCGCTGCTTCTCCACACCTCTGATCCCGTCTGGTGTGTCCAGGCTCTGAGGACAGGCCGCTGTGCCAGGGGACCCAGCTCTAGAGCAAGCAGTGGAGGGCTGGAATGTGCTCATGAGGGAGATGATGGTGGGTGGAAGGGGCTGGGGGAGGCGGGGACAGCCAGGAGTCCTCGGAGGAAGCTGAAGAGCTGAGGGCTTGTCAACACAGGGCATGGGAACCCACTTGGCCCGGAAACTTCGTCTGGTGGCATTCATGTGGCCTATCACAAGAGATGAGTGACTCAGTGCTCAAGAACTGGCTAGAAATGGGCTCAAGCCCCCTGCACTTCCCAGGCAGCAAGCACACACCCAGTGGCAAGAGTCCATGAGCCTGGTTTATGACATTGGGGAGAACTCCTGTTCCCCCGCACTGAACACGGCCCACGGCGGTCATGAGACCACTGCTGCTGCTCAGGGACCCAGCCATCTTCCCGGTGCTGTTGCCAGGCGGGCTGGGGACACTGAAGTCGGTCCCACCGCCTCTTGCACCTGCCGGAGGAGCTGGGCCACCGTGGCGGGATGGGGCTGGAGTGCGGGCACTCTGGTCACGTTCTCCGGGAGCCCTGCTCCCAGTCAGTGATACAGCATCAGAGGCTTTCTTGAGTAGGAGACGTTGTCTTTCAGGAGGGGTGACCCCACGGCCATGCGCACTTTGTTCCAGCGGTGGCCTTTATTATAGATGGGCTTGACAGAGCGTGGAGACCAGCGCGTCAGGTACCTGTGGAGGGTAGGGAGGTGGCTGTGAGGGCTGGGGGGTGCATGCTGGAGCTGGGACAATGGGTTGTGTCTCCTCGGGCCTAAGCCTTTCACCAGTTTCCCTTCTCAAGGAGCAGGGGCTTTTCCTGGGAGCAATGGCTGAGTGTGCCGTAAACAGATGGGCTGGGCTCTTGCTGCCGCAAGCGTGTGTGGCCAGGGTCAGGCAGCCCAGGGCCACGCGCTCCCTTGATCTTTATGAGTTGTCAATGTTTGTGTGTATACTTGCTGGGGGAGGAGGCGGAGGAAGAGGCTGCCCAGAAAGCAGATCATTCCTCTCTGGCCTCAGTCATGGGGAGAGGAGAGGCTGATGTAAGGCCTGGAGAGATCCTTCCCTCTTCCCCACTTGGCTCACTCTGTCACCTCAGCCTTCCAGGAGCTCCCCTGGCCGGCCATCACTGGTGTAGGGCCCCTGCCCCTCACCCTCATAATGGGAGCCAAGGGTGAGGGCCCGTGGTACAGACCTAGCCCAGGAAGGTTCCTGTAAGTAGGAGGGGGGTGGGGAAAGATGGCTGCCGCCCACAGTCCTTTGGCCTCCTTTGGGGATGGCCAGGGCCCTGACAGTTCCCAGAAAAGTGGCTCATGCCGGCTGGGACTGGGGTTTACTCCATCCAGAATGCAATTTGGATCCTGTCCAGAGAGGCCCACCCTTCGTCCTCAAAGCTCAGCTATGGCAAAGCCAGGCTCCTCTCCTGCCTCCACTCTAGGCTGGGGCTCAACCCAGCAGCCGCTAGAGACCCTCGCATGAGAGACTTTTTCATTTAAAAAATTAATCACCTTGGTTGAGAATTTTTAGATAAAACTAAAAAAAATGATTACCGATTTACATATTTCAACTGAGCTCCCCTTCCCTGGACCTTGGTTTCCTGCTCTTAGTCCTGAGCAAAGGGGAAAGGAGCAAAGGAGCTCTGCGAGGAAATAAAAAGCTGTGGGAAGTGCTAGCCTACATTCCAAGTATGAGGTGGGCAGGGAGGGGGTGCTCTCCACGTGTACTGTCCGTGTCAATGCCCCCTAACAGGGAGGCCTCTGTGCAGTGGGTGGGGCCGACGGCTGGCTTCTCTATGGTGGTGCCGGGCTAACAGAAGCGTGAAGGTGAAGGTGAAGTGAGGGGAGCACCTGGCAGGCCCCTGAGCCAGCATCTCCCAGTTTTCAGAGGGGGTGGGGGAAGAAACAGAGAGCGGGAGCAGGCTCCCTAAAAGAAACGCGCAGTGGGATCAAAGACCCCGGGAGAACCTGAGGCTGACCAGCTTGTCCAAAGCTGCTGCCCTCAGGCTGTTTTCCCCCTGCCCCGGAGAGAGTGGAGGGAAGCTGGGCTTCAGCTAGCCCTGGGCCTGATGGCTGTGCCACCCGAAACAGCCAGCTGGGGGGGTGGGTGGCGGTGGTTAGTGGCCTCCAGTTAGCTCTCGGGGCAACCCTCCAGCTCTAGGAAGAACCAAGGCTCCTTCATACCTCTCCTGAAGGGGCAGGGGAAGGAGGAAGTGTGGCTCCCTAGGGCCCAGCGGAGCCTGGGCCGGTCCACGGCAGCTCAAGGACCTCTGGATGGAATCATAAAGTCCCGTGAAGCAAGAGAATCACACTCCTTCGTAGCCAGGACTCCCCCTCCCCCCTAGAGTGGCCTTTTGCAACCCAAGAGCCCCCACACATCATCAATCCTGTGTCACGTTAAAGGACACCGGATATATGGGAGGGAGCCTGGCCTTGCTTCAAAGGCCTGAGGGCAGGATGGATTATGTCCTTAGGCCTGCTGCTGTCTCTTTATAAGTCAGAAGGGAGGGTGGGCTCAACTTCCAAATGGTCCAGAGCACAAGCGGGAAAGACAGGAAGAGGTTAATATGTCCTGCTCCCCCAGGTTGCTGGCAGATGGCCCAGCTAGCCATGTGGGAGGTTCAGGTGGAGATGGGCATGGGGCCAGGGTGCTGGCGAGGTGTCAGTGAAGACCCAGCTCTGGCCCTGCACCCCCAGTCCAGCCATCCGAAGCTGGACTTGCCTGGCCCCCCACCCTCCGTGCCTGCATTTTGTTGGGGATCAGCCTTGGAGGTTGGCTGCGGAGGCGCTGTCTTGCCCTGCTTCAGCCATCTTGGGTCCCCTAGAGAGAGCAGTTACAGTAGTAGCTGGACAGACCGAAGAGGGGAGGGGCCGTTGACAGGGCGAACAAGAAGACAAGACCAGAATCAATTTTATAGACCTGGATCTACTCTTGAGCAGGGGCTATTGCAGATCTGGGAGGACATGAGTGTGGTCTTGTTGGGGCCGGGCCGGGGGGACAGGGAGCTCACGGCAGGACGGCTGTTTGAGGGTGAGATGGGAATCTGCTCCTACACCAGAGGGGGCCCCCTGCTTTGGCTGGAAGGCAGACTGATTGATTCCAGGGTCTGGGGGCGTTCCTCCACTCTACAAAAGCCCAGGACCTTCCAGCCCGCTTCAGGGCAGCTGTGCAGATTAACCGCACGACCCTAGGGAGCGCTATGGAGGCTGAAGTTCTGCAGTGCGAGACGGGCACAGCTATGTGCGGTGGCTCTACCCCAAAGAGCCCTCCCCTTTCTAAGGCCTCATTTTGCCCTTTAATAACCCCGTGCTGGGATACTGAAAAGTTTGTAGAAGTGCTCTGACATTCCCATAGCAACCCAGTATGATGTCATAAACCGGGGATTAGCACATTCTAATGCCCAACCGGCAGACCTTCTTACCCTTCGTGTCCCTGTGCCAAGTGCCCAGCCAGGAAGGGAAGAGGAGAGAGTCTGAGGCCAGCAGGGGAGACGCACAGAAGTGTGCAAAGGATCCACCCAGCAGTGCTGGGACTGAAGGGGGTGGGTGCTCACGCGGGGAGGGATGGAACAGCCAGCCAAGGGAGCACTCTAGCTTTCCTGGGCTGTGGGACGAGCTCCAGCCAGTGAGAGCTGAGGGCCTGCAGAATGCTCTGGGTGGCGATACCTGGCTTTGCTTACCGGTTGAGTTGGGGTTTGCTCTTCGGAACAAATCCTTCAGGAAGCTGAGGCCTGTGATTTGGGAAGAGACCTGAGTAGAGACAAGAGCACGTATGGGATGGTCTTGCAGCTCCCTCTGCAGCTCTCAGGGGTAGATGCAAAGCCCAAGGGGGGTGGGAGGCTGGCACTGGGGGGGTGAGTACAGCGAAGACTCTGGATGTTCCTATCTCTTCCAGGAGGGGCTGGACCAGGGGGCAGCCGGCAAGGGGTGGGATGGGGGGATGGCGCCTGTAGCCCTCTGCCCTCCTCTTCACCCCGAGAGGGCCTTCTACCTGCTCGGTGGGCCATCTTCACGCACTCCTCAATCTTACGGTGTTCTTCCTGGCACAGGCCTGTGATCCTTCGAGGCAGCATGCCTCCACAAGGCCGGAGGAACTGACTGAGCAGCAGAACATCCTAGGGGAAACGGAAAACTGCAGTCAGTCAGCCGGTGGGCGTCTGAAACGGGGCACCAGGGCCTCGTGGCTTACAGGGGAGGCCGTCCTACCCCAGCACCCCAAGGGGTTGATGTCTCCCTCGGGAACCAACCAGGGACCACACCCTCTACACAGAGCTTTTGCACACTGGTCTATTTTTGCCCTAACAAAACCTAAATCCCAAGTTGGTCAGATTTTCCAACCCCAAGGGCTCCCAGCATCTCCATGAGAATCTTTGAGAGATTACAGAACAGAAACTCTTCAAAAAGTGTTCATCTTTAGAGCACGGGCAGCATCTCTCCTGGTAATGAAAGGCCTGTTATTCTCCTTGGGCGAGGTAGGGGGCGTGTCATAGATTTCCACACAAGGGGGAAAAACCACCACGGTTTCTACCCCTATAGCCTACAAGCCAGAATCCACACAGACAGCCCCTCCACCTCTGCAGTTCCCCTGCAAGTGCAGGCAGCGTACGAGCTAGGGAGGAGAGGATCGGGGTGGTGAAGTTAAGAGCCACATCTTCTAAGCCCCCGTGGCCAGATGTGAATGGATTCTCCGGCTTCCTCTGGACCATCAGACTGCTTTGGACGAGTCGAGGGCACAAGGATAAACACAGCCAAAATCAAGCCAAGAGACCACTTCCCCTTCCAGCTTTCATAGGGTGGCTGAGGGGGTTAAACAAAAGCCACAGCTTCCCCAAGGAGAGGGGGGCCCCGCCCACCGAGGGGCCCGCCATGCCCGTCTTCGCAGTCCTGTCCCACAAACCGATCTGCTGCCCTGGCAGGCGCCTCGCTGTATAACCGCAGATTTGTTTTAATCACTGGACAGCTCCTGAGGGACCCGGGCCCCCAATTCCCACCCCTGTAATCTTTAGAATCTGGTGAAAAGAACTTGGATTGGATTATCCAGTACTAATAAACTGGGCCCGCAGCCCCAGCCCCCCACCGTAGGCTGCCAAGCAAGCTGACAGCTTTGTGCAGCTCAGGCTAACGGTGTCCTGAGTGGAAAGGGGTAAAAGGAAAACAACTGTAGCCTTTACCTCGGCGGGGATTGGATTTCGTCTGTTGGATAAACACAGCCAAGTCCATTTCCTGGAAATGGCTGGTAGAAGGAGTGCCCCATGGTGGTTAGGCAGGTGTGGACTTCACTTCCCCATCTTCAGCTGGCATTCTAAGTGCGGCCACGACCCCACCTAACTTCTATGTCACAAGAAGCTGTGAACACTGTCCTGTGGCCTATAGGTTTCCTATTAGTCCGGGCAGCCATGAGCAGAAGGGCCGGGAGCAGAGTGAAAGGAGCACCCTCCTCCCCGCCCGGTGGCCTGGAGCCAAGGCTCCCAGCCCAGGAGATTAGTTGGGTCATTCTGTTCGGATCCCATGGGCATGTGGCCGCTCCTGCTCCCACCACCTGACCGGGACCTGTGCCTTTAGTCATCCCATTCCACAGAGCGGTACAGGGACAACTTGCAGGTCAAACTGGCCCAGAGCCTAATCACCTGAAACCTAAAAATAGGGTGCTTAATGTCACCAATAGAACCCTGAAGGACAAGTATGGATTTCTCTAGGTCTGCGTCCTTCCCCCAAGCCCGCCCTGTTTCTAGCGAGGATGGAGAGCAGTCGTCAGGATAGTAGGCTCTGCCTGGGTTTTGTATCCCTGGAGTTTATAGCCTGGCTCTGATATTAGCTGGGTGATCTGAGAGGCAAGTTCATCAACTTTTCATGCCTCGAAGTTCCTCGTCTGGAAATCAAGGATGAAAACAGTACCTACTTCATAGGGATATTGTGAAAACCAAGTGAATGAGGGCCTGTAAATGCGTACCACAGTGCCTGACACGGAGCCTGCACTGTGGGGGTTCCCATTCTTAGTCACCATCAGCATCTTTCCGTGGAGAGAACAGAGAGAACAGGAGCTGGAGCAAACGGGAGTCTTTGTAGCTCCAGTATGGAGGGAGACAGTAATGTGTCCTCAGGTCACAGTGAGGACTCTCCAAATATACCCTCCTTATAAAAGGAGGAAAGCCAAATCCAGAGCCTGATTCCATCCGTTGGGAACACACCCTGCAAGACGGGGTTACAGGGCCCTGGTGGTCTGAACTGCATGCAACCAGCGCCATGATCTGGATTAGTGACTCTCAACCCTGGCGGCACTGTCGAATCACCTGGGGAGCTTTACAAATGAATGATGGCCAGGCTCCACCCAGACCAAGCGCAGTCAGTGTCTGCGGGTGGGGCCCGAGGAGGATTTTAAAGCTCCCTGGGGCAGCCGGGGTTGAGATGCAGCAGTGGCTGGGGGGTGGGGAAGCCGCTGAAGTGAACCAGGGACTGCAACCTCCACGACATGCAGAGCCGGCGTCTGCGCGCGCAGCTCAGCTCACCTCATAGCCATACTTGTGCTTCAGGTTCCACCGGCAGATGGGGCACTGGCCAGAGGGGTTAGGGGGGTTTGGGCTTTCCTTGGGAGTCCCCGTTAACCGGCCTTCGATCTAGGAGGAAGAGAAAGACAGCCAGTGAGGGAGAGGGCATTTGGAGCCTCAGATCCTTGAGCAGCCCCCCAAATGGTGAGATGCCGGGGAGAGTTCATCTGTGGGGGCCTCTGTGGGAGTGGCTAATAGGTCTCTCCGCCTCCCCTGCGGCAGCGGTTCTGCAGCCATCGCCTACTGGACCTCGGGGTGGCCACAGAGCCGTGACCTGGTGGCATGCAAGCGTCGTGGCAATTAGACAATGCTGGGGGCAAGAGGCAGGGGTTTGTTCTATCAGCTGAATGCTACCTTTCCTTCCTCAAAAACAAAACAAAACACCAGAACATTATGCTTCCCGCTCTGGAAAAAAGTAATACCTGCACAAGGTAGAAAGTTTCCAACGGTGCAGGGATACACAGTGAAAAGGAAGTCTCCCTCCCATCCCACATACCATGTCCTTCTCAGAGGAAACTGCCCTTTCCAGCTTCACGTGACAGAGGCCAGTCTGTAGCAGTGGTTCCCAACCAGGCAGGATTTTGCCACCTCCCGCCTCCCCCCGGCAGACACTGGACAATGTCGGAGACATTTCTGACTGTCACGGCTGGGGGATGGGGTGCGCCGGGCATCCAGCAGGGAAGCTGCTAACCATGCTGCCCCCCACGACAAAGCCCTAGCCAGCCCCAAAGGCCAGCAGCTTCGAGGCTGAGAGAGCCCACTCTACGCCCTTCCAAGCAGGTACCATGTGCATGCCTGCTTCCTTGCTCGCTTTTAGAAACACACATGGGAAGATATATTTGCCTGCCCTCCTCACTTTTATCATTTTGGATGCCACCTTTCAAATCCTGCTGAGGCCACGTGTGCAATGACCTCCGCCATTGCTCTGTATCCTGTGACACAGCCTTGGAATTACCAAGTGCAAGAAGCCAATGATCTGGGAGGCGGCTCTGATTACAAGAGGGGGAGTTTAGAAAGCCTTGCTGATTGAGGCCAGGGATTATGAGAGGGAGAAGTTGGGACAGGTCTGAGGCTTTGGGAGGGAAGTAATACTGTCTCCTGGGGGAGAAACTGGCAAAAGGGAAAGGGGGCTGTGCAGGGTCCTGCTACCTGACTTTCTGCCAAGGCCACCGCAGCCACGCCAGAAACGGAGAAGTGCACTAGGGAAAATGTGGAGGTGCACGCTGGGTCTTGGGAGGGGGTTACGGTGGGCCTGGCGGGGGACAGGGCTAACATTTATTGACTCCCCATTGCATGCCTGGCTCTGTGCTAGTAACGGTTCAAACGTATCACCTCATTTCACCCCCAAGACCTCGTGAAGGAGGATTCATGATCTTATGTTATAGATGAAGAAAGTGAGACCCCAAAAAGTGAGCAATGCCCGGTTAGCTGCAGCGATAGCTCTCCCTGGAGGCACGGATGGCCTTCCCTCCCCCAGTGGGTCTCACGGTGCCACGATGTCTCCATGTTCATTTTGCAAATAGCAGACTGACGCCTCACATGAGAAACACTCCATACTCAAAAGGCAGATATATTTTTCTCCACCAGCATGGAGTTCCTAGGGTGAATGCTTGTTTTGGCTTTGAATAAGGGAACCAAAAGAGGTGCCCAAAGGGGATGGGGGCCCCCTAAAAAGAACCGTTTTGAGGCTAAGCAGTGAAAAGGCTGAGGAGTATTCTGGGGAAGACTCAAAGAGGGAACCCTAAGGGCTCGTCCTGGGGTTAAGACTGCTTTGGGGGAGGACCGAGCTTGGCTGGCTGCCAGAAGGGTTAAATCCCTGGTTGACATGGAAGTTACGGAGGCTTCTGGGAGCTCCGTGGAGTGGCTGAGATTTCCTGGAAGCATGGAAGGCCATGTGAAAACAACGTTGTCTTTCAGGGATTATAGGATAATCTAGGCCCCATGACTCCCCGAGGAAGGGAGGTGAGATGGGCCCAACAAGGGAAAGGGGGGAGTAGGTGGATGAAGAATCATTCTAGCTTTTTAACCAACAGACAAGCCAGGGTGCCGGCCAGTGAGCCCAGGGCCCAGAGAGTGTCACCTTTTAATGGCATCACTTAAGAAGTAGTTTGGTCCAGGCTCCCGGCCATGGGTCAACTTACTTGGGCTCTCTACTCTCACCACTGCCTTGGTTTCTCCTTTGGAAAACTGATTTATCCCCACCAAAGACCTCTGAGACCTTCCTTATCATACAAAAGGCCACTTTAATCAAACAACGGATGCCTCAGTCCAGGCACGATGACTGTTCCTGATTCAACCACATGACAGCACACAGCTTGAAAAACGTTAGACTGTGGGATTTATGGTGACAGAGGGAGCTGCTCCTGATGCCAGGAGTCCAGTTTGGGTTGGCCTTCCTCCTCCCCCCTCTCTGCCCCCCGGCAGCTCCAAGAGTTAAAGAGGTCGTAAGTGGCCAATTTGATGATACTTACTGTAGTCGTCTTCCCTTCTTGGATCTCCACCACTACAGAGATAAAGGGGAAAAATCAGGTCAGCCATTTAATAAGGAACAGGGAGTTTCAAATAACAGCTCAAATTCTACACATGCAGAAAATCGGAGCCTTCAGTCTGCACTCTCCCACGGTCCCCACCTGGGAAAGAAAGCGTGCGGGGTTCATCTCCAAGTGCCAAGGCTCTATGCCCTCGAGGCTGGGTGGGGGCAAGCCTAGATGCCCAAGTAATACCATCTCTCTGGGATTAAGGGTCTCTACACTGTTTTTGTCTTTCTAGGCCAAGATTCATCTTGGTTCTAAACCAAGGGAATTGGCAAGATCCTGCCCTCCCGTGGCTAGCAATAATGACCTCAGAGTTAGGCTGGGTGGGAGTGGAAGCATCTAAAAGACCTTCAAAAGTACCCATTGCGTGTGTCCTTTCATGACGAGAATCACACAAACATGGCTTCTGACCCTGAAGAATGTGCAGTCTCTGATACAGGCTTGAACTAAGGCTGCTCCAGTGGCCCCAGGGCAGATAAGGAGTGAGAGCAGCTCACCCACAGAACTCGGCTCGGGGAGCCGTGCTAGAGCTCTAAGAGGCAGCTGTGTGAGTTAAATCCTCTGCCCTTCTGCACGCGGCTCGTGCAGGGTGCACTGTGCTACGCATGTACGCGGGAGCAGGTGGGGGCAGGGGTGGGGGAGAGGGGCCTCCAGACGCCGGCCCGGGCTGAGTTCTCAGGAGAGCGCTGCAAGTGCAAACGGAGGGGGGCTCCCTCAGCGCTCTGCCCGGAGGAGAACTCAAGGGCAGGACGGTAAGTCGCACACATCCCTCAGGCTGTATGTATTTCCTCGCTTATTTCACCAGGATAAAAAATGACAACTTCAAGAATATTCCAAGGAAGAACCAAGCCAATGGTGCACGTTTGGCCAATATAATCAAACAAAGTTCTTGGAGCTTCCCCCTTGTTCTCCAGTGTCTTTAGAAAGAGAGGAGCCACTGCGGTTAGCGTGGGAACCGGCACGCAGCAGACGCTCAGTCAATGCTAGCTAGCACCAAGACCGTGAAACGGTCAGCACGGCCCCTTCTGACTGCTAATCACTGCTACACAAAACCTTGGTCTGCAGAGCTAGACTGCAAACTGTCTCCTTACGTACAAACACCGTATCGAAACAGCAGCCGGGCTCCCACAAGTAGTTTTACTCAGCTTCAGCGAGGCAAGAAGTAGTGCAGCTTAGAAAGAGCCTAAGGTTCCGGGGGGCCTGGGTGGCTCAGTTGGTGGAGCGTCGGACTCTTGGTTTTGGCTCAGGTCATGATCTCGGGGTCGTGAGATCGAGCCCTGCGTCTGGCTCTGTGCTCGGCGGAGAATCTGCTTGAGATTCTCTCTCTCCCTCTGCCCCTCCCCCTATGCTCTCTCTCTCTAAAAATAAATAAACAAATCTTAAAAAAAGAAAGAGCCTAAGATTCTTAATGTTAAGAATCTAGTGAAAGTTATGGATCTTTTCCTGGAAATATATTCATAAGCACACATACAGTGAAACATGTGTACCTAAATGGTAATGCTGGTTTTCTCTCGGTGGTGGCAGTACGTGATTTTTACTTTGTTCTTTATGCCTGCCTGGATTTTCTGAAGTTTTTAAAATAAACATGTACTGCTTCTGCAATAAAAAATAAACAGTAAAAAGAGAGAAAGAGAATGAATATCTAAGAAAAAAGTGAGGCAACTCTAACCCAACCGGAGGCCCTTGGCAGCATCTGTGATCACTGAGCTCTGTGACCAACACCTAATTGGACACAGACTGCCTGGAATTGTCCCCCATTTGTTTTCTGCGCAAGGCCATTCATAAAGCCTCATTACTCCAAAACAACCAACCTGAGAGCCCCTCAGTGTTCCAACTCCAGATACACACAAAGAAGCCACGATGGCCAGAAAGGCCCTGAGGCTTTCTCCAGAACACTGTAGTTAACTAATCAATTCAAAGACAAACTAGTTTTCTCCCTGTAAAAGAAAATGCGTCACCCCACACACGGATCTACTTGTTCGGAACGCAGACCAGCCTAAACGGGATGTGGGTGAGACTCAGCCTGGTGCTCAGTCGGGAGGCCTGCACAGCTGCGGGGGGACAGTCACTGGAATATGTCAACCTACAGACATGGGGGAGCAGAAGCAGGGCAGAGCCCCAGCTCAGCAGGGCTTCCAGGCACCCCGGAAACTTTGCAAAAAACCAACCTGGGAGAGGGATGGAAGGCAACCAAATCTAGGCAGCAACAGGTGAGGGGGAAGTTTCTAAGAATCCGGGGAGGAAACAAAAGGAGAGACACATTCCTGGTACCACTTGAGCCAGCAGGAGAAGATGGCCTGAAACAAAAAGCGGATAAACATGTGGTTCCCCTCTCTATGGAGGCACTTGGGTCCCAACCATGAGGTAAACAAATCTAACAAAACACACATCACTCCCGGCAAAGAACCAAACCCTGAAGTCATTCCATTGGCCCCTGGAAAAGAGATCAAAGCTTATGGCCACCTCCGCTGTTTGCCAGCTCCCCACACGGCAACCCTGAGCCAGTGAATCATCTTACTGTATGCCAGGGGGTAAGACAATAGGCAGATGCTTATCTACTACAGACAATTTGTCAAACCAGAAAGAATGACCTGAGAACTCTTACAAGATTGAGAGTGATCAGGGCGGTGTCTCAGTGCAGGGGCAGGAGGCCTGGGTGGAACCTCAAGAAGCCCCTAGATTTTAAGCCTCTGAAAACAGGAGATAGGAATCAAAATAGTTTTGCTTTCCAGTGTGCATACAAAAACAGGTCAAAACCAAACCAAACCTGAGATCCATTTTGTCCCTGGCCTCCTCACACTCAAGATGGGGGTAACCATGAAAAACTGGACTAAGACATTTAGGTACTGACAGACAACTTGTTTAGAAAAAGGTGGAATCACCCTTGTGTTCTGAAATATGGCTATTATGATGTAAGCTAAGGAAAAACATGAAACTGGAGTTTCTAAACTGGAGTTAGGGGCCAAATCTTCTAAGACTGGCACTTCTCTCATACACATCAAATAACCCATCCCACGTGAGACAACACATTTGCTGAGCCCCCAGGGAGTACAGCCCGGCCCCACCCACTGTGGAGGGCTACAACAGAATAGGAAGACAGTCTTTACCCTAGAGGAGAAAAGGGAACGCAACCAAGTATGGGAACTTCAGTACAATAAAAGTCTACGCCTCGTAAAGAGGTCCTTTGAGTACTTCAATAAATACTCGCTTAGGATGGAGTCCAAGATAACTGAATTGTAACAGTCTAGTGCAAACAGTGCTGGGCTGAGACTGTAGTGAACGCAGAAAGACCTCGATGGCCACACAAACACACACACAGTGAAATGCAGCAGTATCAAGACCCAACTGTTTAGTGAAGGAGAAAGGAGGACTCATGAATGATGTGGAGGGCGCTGCTATAGGAAGTGCCCAGAAACCAAGTCCTTCTTGGAAAGGATCCGTGGAAACCAGGTACCAAGCAGAGAATGACAGAACAGAGTCACTGATGGCTAAAAGGCACCACTCACAAGTCTTGGCGGAGGACCAGAGAGTGGAGTGTGTGTTTGGGACATGTGGCTGCACTTCCGGCCGTTGACTACTTTTCTCAAACTCCTTCCCCACTTCCCTCTGTTCATCTTTAATTCTACTACTCAAGTTTTCTGATTCTCCAGTCATCTACCCCGTTCTTTCCCCTGGACCTCTGAGGGAATGTCCCTCTGCACTAGGCTTTTCCCACTAGCAGGTTCCTCTGGACTATGTCCCTTGAAGTCTTTGAAGCCCCCAACTCACACACTCCCCTCTCAAAGCTTTTAGCTACAGGGCTGCCCATCCTGCCAGGTGCGTCCTTGTCTGAAATGCTAGGTCCTCCAGAAAGCCCCTCAGCCAACTGGAAGAGATGAAGAAAATTCCCTTCAGCCTTTACTCATTTCAACACGCTCTGCACTAGTTTCCGATAGATGTGCCCTGTTAATTCAGAGAGTCACATGTGTTTTTGTTTTAAATACATTTCCTTCCCAAGAGTGAGAAGGCAGGAATGAGATCTAACACAATCTTTCCCATAAAAAGCACTACACCGTCTTCAGCAAGTTAAATGATGAAAGCTTTCAGGTGGGAGAACCACAGGGCAGCCGTCCCATGGCGTACCATGGCAGTCTTAGTGGTGGAGAGGGAGGAGTGCTGGTTCTACTTCCAATGCCACCACTTACTAGCTGGGTGATCCGGGGCAGCTACTGAACTCCTCTGGGCCAGATTTCTTCAGTAATTTGTCAGTAATATCTGCCTTTAAAGACTGTTGAGAAGACGGAATAAATGTATGTGGAAAACCTAGCACAGTGCTTGCAGCAGGCACAGACTAAACCCCAATTTCCATTTTTGTCTTCCTTCACTTTTGTTCCTTCCACTATCCTTCTTGCCTTTGTGTGTCCCTCTTATCAAACTTTCAACCAGGCTTTCTCAATAGCAGCACAAGTGACATTTCAGGCCAGGTGGTCCTTTGTTTGGGGGCGGGGGGGGGGCCGTCCTGGGCACTGTAAGATGTTGAGCAGCATCCCTGGCCTCTACCCACCAGATGTCAGGAGTACCAGTTGTGACAACCAAAAATGCTTCTAGACATTGCCAGATGTTCCCAGGGGACAAAACTGCCCCCCAACTGAGAACCACTGCTTTAGCCTGAGAGTCTCTACAGGCAAGAGCACGGAATGCTGGGTGCTCATAAACTCTGACTAAAATTAAGTAATGCTATTTGATACTCTTGAATATTTTCAGCAAACATCCAGCTTCCTGCCCACAACTTTAAATTCTGTGTGTACAATATTGTTTGGGTGTCAAATATACCAGCCGGGACCGGGCAGTCAAAATTAACTACATATTTAATATTTTACACCTTACACATAGAAGGTAGTATATCAAGACAAAGTTTTTTCATTTAAAGGCTTTGAAGACAGGTGGTTCTCAAGCAGAATAAAGAATACGGTAGTGCCTTCATGTAAGATCACATCAATTCAATGATTTAGCTTTCAGGTCTGACAGCAAGTAACAGAAGAGTTACCAACCCAGGTATTTATGGAAAGAAGTTCAAAGACCCATCTGATCATACAGTCCATCATTTCACAAAATCTCCAACTGAAAAAATTCCAATCTCAAATATTCTTTTGTAAACAAACAAACAAACAAAAACTATTCCTCTTCCCCATTCTCTGGGAACAGAGCAAAGAACTGTTTTCAACTCTGAATTTCACAATGGATATGTAAATTACAGCTATTAGAGCTTGACACTTCGGAGACACCCTCAAAAATGTTAAGGGTATATGCTTATTTTGCAGCAGGGTATAGATGAAACATCTTACCATGTCCTTCCTATCATCAGCATGATCTCTTTGGTACCTTTCTTTATTAATGGATTAGCTTATCTAATATTAACCAGGCAGTATCTGGATTTTGTCGTTCTTTCTACTATATGTTCCATCTTCCCTTCATAGCTAAATTCTTCTAATACACCTATTTTCATTTCTTCATGAAATATCTCTTTGATTTCCCCAAACTGGGATCCAGCCCTCCCTTCCCCTGAATCTGCCAGATGGAGGTCGAGTCCAGCTGGTTGGGCTGCGCCTGGGCCTACAAGGAGCCCTGTCCGCCACTGCTGTTTGAAAGCCAAAACAGCTTTCTTTCTGAGACAAATCCAATGGACTCCTCTTTAGGTTCCTCTCTTTGGACTTTTCTGCTCCCTCTGACAACAATGATCACTCTTTTCCTCTCGGCACCTCTCAACTTTAAAGGATGCGCTGGCCAATACCATGGCAGAATCTTAAAAACAAACAAACCCACATCACTTCTTTTGCACATCATTCATCCATTCTGGCGTCCAGCAGTGCACAAAGGAAGGCTGCGTCCTGACAGAACTTTTCACTCTTTGCGAGGATGAGATTCCATCCTTTTAAAAAGCCCGTTCAGGGGCGCCTGGGTGGCTCAGTCGTTAAGCGTCTGCCTTCGGCTCAGGTCATGATCCCAGGATCCTGGGATCGAGCCCCGCATCGGGCTCCCTGCTCAGCGGGAAGCCTGCTTCTCCCTCTCCCACTGCCACCTGCTTGTGTTCCCTCTCTCGCTGTCTCTCTCTCTCTCTGTCAAATAAATAAATAAAATCTTTAAAAAAAAAAAAAAGCCCATTCAAGACACATTCCCCTCATTTAAACTTCCAATTGGGTTTCTGTTTCTGGCAACCAAATCTCCCTGTAGTTAATCATGTAAATACCTAACTTGCATTTATTGGACAGTATACATATCATCTCTTTAGAACCCAACTTCTCAGGAAAAGGGCTGAATTTTCTCTTTTTCCAGGATCCTTTGACAGTCTGAAGTACAGTATCTGGCCTTCAGTAAGCTCCCAGTTCAAGGCTATAATCAGGCTGCCTTTCAAGGCTTAAGATTAATGAAAAGGAGAACCACCATAAAGCATTTGTCTGTTTCAGCTGTTCGATGGCTTTTCCACCTTAGCTTCCACCTCTCTGGGAGACTAGGGGCCGGGGCAGAAAAAGACGCCATCAGAGCACAGCATTTTCAGATGAGAAACTGGAAACGGAGGCCCTGAGAAGGATAGCCACATGTCCTTCTCTCATGGTCCAGGGATTTTTTTTTAACAAAGGAGGCGGCGGCTGAGAGAATACGGAAAGCAAAACTAACACGCTAACCTTTACCAAAAACTTTTCTGAATCCCGGGCCAGGTTTCTTACTGCCCCTGCTAACTAAGCAGGGCTTTCTTTCCGTCCTTCCCCGCCCCCACCAGTAAGAACACTCGCGAGCGGTGGGAGGTCAAGACAATAGCATCAAGGTCTGGAAAGGGCTTTCAAGCACCCCGGGAGCGCCAGCATCTCCCGGGTTTCAGAACCGCGCGAAGGAAAGGGAGGGAGGGGAGCACACGGGGGCTGGAGAAAGCAAACTCCACTGATCTTTTCCTCAACCTTGGGAGATAACCGGGACCCAGGACTAACCTTCCCTGAACCCGCGAGCTGGAAGCCGAGCCCAGCTGGTCGCGATCGGGCCAGCCAGGAGCCCTCGGAGCAGCCGTCCAGAGGGATACACCAGCACATTGAGGGCCGCCATCTTGAAAACCAACGGTGACCTCTTGTGCACTTCCGCTTCCGGAACGGCGCGCGCGCAGCCGCAGTGGTGAGCAGGAAGTGTGCGGCTGTGGGCTTCTGGCTCGGATACTCTCGCGCTTCCTTTTCCCTAGTCTGTCCCACGGAGGGGTAAGCCTAGAGGATTTCTGTGTTAAGCCTGTGCTTCGTTCTGAGGGTCTAGGGCAGGTGTTCGGGCTCCCGTCTGCCGGTCCTCGAAGTGTCAGGTCGCTTTCGTACCCTCACAGGCTTCCTTTGTAAAATCACATACACCACCCCTATTTACTTAAAAGCTTTTTCTTCAGGTCAGATGTGGATTTTCTGCCTCTTATGGCTAAGACTAGACCTGTACAGTAGAGTTTGAGATTGTTAGGACTCTAGTTCTGGAACGTCAGGTATCAGGCAGACCTGGGATAGAATTAATTCCTAACTTCTCCACCAATCTGTGTCCTCCCCACCCCCTCCAAACACACTTGTCTTTCATTCTCCTATACCTAACACTTACCTTTGGCCCCAGGGCCTTTGCATAGCTATTTCCTCTACGTGCTCTTTGGCCACCTGCTAAACTCCTTATTTCTCAGAGCTCAGTTCAAAATTCACTTCCACATTAGAGTCTTCCTTAACCTCCCTGTTACTGGCTCTCAGCACCAGATAACTCTCCATTTTAGTACTTGGCATAATGGGGTTTTACCTCTATTTGTATAATACGTGTCTTTTCACCAGACTGTAAACTCCATGAAGGCAGAAATACTGTTTTTTTGTTGACTTATATCTTCAGCAATTAATGCAGTGCTGAAACACAGTAAGTGCAATGAATGAGTAGAATCTATCTCATAGGGTTGTGAAGATTAGATGAGATAAGACCTAAGTGCTCAATAAACAAAAGCTAATTAATAAGGCAATTACTGAGATGGCCCTCGTGCTAGGTACTTTTCATAAGTTTGATGTACTTTCATAACGAGAAGCTTGTAGTGCTATAAAGAAAACACAACTGCCCAGTTTTCCCTCTTTTGGATTTGCAGGATATATAGGATGCTCCCCTAGAGCTACATAAGAAATATACACAGCTCAATTCTTCCACTTGGTGAATAGGATATTCTTTTCCACCCTCCAAAATAAACCTGAAAGGGGATTTTCTAGTTATCCTACCCTGACTCATAGATGGAAAAATCAGGCTCATTAAATGGCAGAGTATTAAATGTTTCCTGATAAAGGGGAGGGAAGGAGCCCATCTTCCAGTTGGGACTGTCACCCTGGTGGACTAAGGAGATGCAGAACAGCTGCTCTATGGGGCGCTTGAGTGATATCGCCATAGACAAGGAAAACAGTAGAAATATGGCATCGGGTTACCATAAAACATCACATTCAGCAAAGGCAGATCCTGGAGAGAAAGATCAGTATGGGTGAATGAGACAGACACATGAATTAGGAGTCGTGGAGAGGGTTTTGGTGGGGTATTTTTCAAGATGTCCTGGCCAGGATCAGGAAAGCCTTGGCTTTTCCTATAGCTTCCACTTTCCTTCTGTATGATGACCTTGAGCCCTTCCTGCTTATACCATATCCCCTGTTTCTTTACAAGTCCCCAGCTTCTGATGATCCAGTAGCAACCAGGGCAGTAAGAGAGCTTCCACCCAGAGCTTATTTTGGACACAATGAGCTAAAGTATTTGAGTGCCAACCCTCTCTTCATTATCTTATCCTGACTTATTATAATCAAATTTTATTTTAAGAAACAACTTATATTTTATACAATGACAAGTAATGTGATTACTGTAGGAAAAATAAAACAGTAAAGTAAAAAGTAAATATATATCATCCATAATCCAGAGTTAAACATTATTTACATTTAGCAAAATGACATAATACTGAAATAATACTTTGCAATATCTTATTTTTCTGAACCTATTTATTATTAGTCCCTACATGAAAAAAAATTCTTTGAGACCAGATTTTGCTCAGGAGACTAGCTTAAAAAAATTTTTTTTTAGGGGCACCTGGGTGGCTCAGTCAGTTAAGCAGCTGCCTTCAGCTCAGGTCATGATCCCAGGGTTCTGGGATCGAGCCCCACGTCGGGCTCCCTGCTCAGCAGAGAGCCCACTTCTCCCTCTCCCTCTGCCTGCCGCTCAGCCTACCTGTGCTCTCTATCTCTCTGTCAAATAAAAACCTTAAAAAAAATTTAAAAAAATTTTTTTAGACAAAGAATAACCTGTATAAGAAAGTACACAAATTATCAGTGTGCAGCTTGATGAATTTTCAGAAAGGGAATACACTATCCACACCACCAAGTAGAACATTAATAGCAATTCAGAAGACCCCGTGGTGTCCCCTTCCAGGCATTATCCCCTCTTCAAGGGTAATCATTATCCTAATTTTTGGCATCATAATTTACTTTTTCCTGCATTTGAACTTTGTATAAATAGAATCTACATAGCATGTGCTCTTTTGTGTCTGCTTTCATCTACTCATCAACAACATGAGTGGGATTCACCCATATTGTTATGTGTACTTGTTATTTATGCATTCTCATTGCTGTATAATGTTCCAGTGTGGTTATACTACAATTTATCCTTTCTCTTGTTAATAGGATTTGGATACTTTCCAGTTGGGACTACTATAAATTGTGCTGCGATGAACACTCTTCTGTATGATTTTTGGTGAACACAAGAACAGACATCCCTCAGGAATATATCTAGCAGTGGAACTGTTGGATCATAGGGTATATATGCACTTAGATACTAGATAGTAGATACTGCCAAACAGTTTATTTGGTACCAGTTGTGTATAAGAGTTCTTGTTGCTCCACATCTTTATCAATATTTGATATTTTTTGTGCTTTTCATCTTGGCCATCCTGGTGAGTATGTCCTAGGACTTCATTGTGTATTTAATTTACATTTCTCTGATGCCTAATGAAGATGAATCATTTGTCATATGTTTATGTCCTTTAGATACTTTCTTTTGTAAAATGTCTGTTCAAGTCTTTGGCCCATTTTATATTGGGTTGCCTTTATTTTTTTTTCAATGAAGTGATTTTTTTTTCAAGATTTTATTTATTTTTTTGTAATGGGGGGGAGGGAGAGGGTGTAAAGCAGGAGGAACAGCAGGAGGAGGGAGGAGCAGACTCCCTGCTGAGCAAGAAGCCCAATGCAGAACTTGATCCCACAACCCTGAGATCATGACCTGAGCCGAAGGCAGATGCTTAACCGACTGAGCCACCCAGGCACCCCTGCCTGTATTTTTCTTATTGATTGTAGAAGTTCTTTATATATTCTGGATACTTGTCCTTTGTTGGATATAAGTACAGCAAATGTCATCTTCCTTGCTGAGTTGCCTTCTGTAATATATTGTTTTGATGAGCAGTATTTTAAATTTTTTAAAAGATTTTATTAATTTATTTGAGAGAGAGAGTGAGTGAGAGAGCATGAGCAGTGGGGAGGGGCAGAGGGAGAAGCAGACTCCCTGCTGAGCAGGGAGCCCAATGTGGGGCTTGATCCCAGGACCCTGGGATCATGACCTGAGCCGACGGCAGACACTTAACCAGCTGAGCCACCCAGGCACCCCTTAAATTGTTTAATATAGTGTAATTTATCAGTTTTTTCTTTTGTGGTTGGCATTTTTGGTATTTTAAGTAGGCTCCATGCCTAACTTGGGGCTCGAACTCATGACGCAGAGATCAAGAGTCACACACTAACAACTGAGCCAGCAGGTGCCCCTTTGGTTTCTTATTTAAATTTTTTCCTTTTCAAAATCATGAAGATGTTCTATGTTTTTTTTTCCAAAAACTGTATTGTTTTACCTTTTAATTAGATCAAAACTCACCTAGAATTGTTTTATTATATGATCTGAGATTGGGATTAAGGTTCATTTTTTTTTTTTTAGGAATATTTAACTGACCTGGCACCATTTATTAAAAACATCACATATTCCCTCATTGCATTTTATCTGGTTTAGATCTGTTTCTGGAGTTTCTATTTGGTCTCTTTTTCTGTCCCTTAGCATTATTTTAAATGGCTGTATACTATTTCATTGTCTGGAAGTGTCATATCCCCAATTGCTAGGAATTTAAGTTGCTTTTACTTCGAACATATTTTCTAAGACCTATCTCCCTATTCCAAAAATAGCATTTTCTATTTTTTAAAAAGATTTTATTTATTTATTTATTTGAGAGAGAGAGAGAGAGAGCTCAAGGAGGGGTGGAGGAGGAGGGAGAGGGAGTGAGAGAGAGAATCTCAAGCAGACTCTGCACTGAGCATGGAGCCAGACTCAAGGCTTGATCCCATGACCCTGAGATCATGACCTGAGCCAAAACTAGGGGTTGGATGCTTAACTGACTGAGCTATCCAGGCGCCCATGGATTTTTTTTTTTACTTTTACTTTTAATTTTTAAGTTTTTAAAGATTTTATTCATTTATTTGACAGAGAGAGACACAGCGAGAGAGGGAACACAAGCAGGGGGAGTAAGAGAGGGAGAAGCAGACTCCCCACTGAGCAGGGAGCCCGATGTGGGGCTCGATCCCAGGACCCTGGGATCATGACCTGAGCCGAAGGCAGACGCTTAAAGACTGAGCCCCCCAGGCGCCCCTGGATTTTTTTTTTTTTTAAAGTAAAACCGTGCTGTGGAATAAGAGGGAGTGAGGGCCCTTCTCTGGAGGCTGCAGAATGATAGCTGCTATGCAAAGGAAGGGTCTTTTCAAGAGCCAGGGTCTCTGGGGCTGTTGGCAGAGTCACTCTGGTGCCTGGGGCGAGCTGTGTGCATCTACATTAGCAGTTCTGGACCCTGAAGAGCAGCAGTGACCCTGGGATACATGGAGATGAGAGAAGGGAGGCTGCTGAACCAGCCACTCCTTAGCTTGACAAAATTTCCTATCCATCCCTTCTTCTGAGGAGCCCAGCCCCCTTGCTTCCACCCCATCTGCCAGGGAAATCTTCCTTCTTTTGTCCATTACTTGTCCTGGATCCTATATCTTAACTCTGGAGATAGCTCACATCCCCAATAAACTCCTAATGAAGATGTTTGGGGAAACATTCACAAGGGATGAGACCAGAAATGCTCATTTTGCCAAGAGAAACTTAAACTAGCAGCAGAAACAGTCTGGTCTAGAGACTTGCTCCCAGCCACCAGGCCAGCCAGCTGGGGCCAGAGCAAAGACAAGAAACTGGGAAGCCATGGGTGGATCAGCCTGTCTATGGCTTTGGGGCTGAGGTAGTTCTGGTCCCAGTTGTGGATGAAGATGCTCTTCCAGCCTTCCTCCTACCTTGCCCAGGAAGAATGGGTCAGAGCCAAGAGCCACACAGATGTTCCCTGTGAATGACAGAGGCAGTGAAAAGGCGCGGGAAGGTGGAGGGAGCTGATCTGCTAGAGACCAGGGTGGGAGGGGGCTGCAAGAGAAGCCAGGGGAAAAGGCTGACAGAGTGAATGACTGTCATGTTTGCTTTCTCCTAATTAATGTGGTTTCCTTACAAACCCCTGCTGATTCCCAGCTGGTTGACTCAACCATAACAACACGTGGCCTGCCCTGCCCAGGCCAGGAGCCCAGGCTGTGAGCCTCCCAAGAAGGGTCTGGTTTCATCTGCAGCAGCTGCCCCTCCTCCCCAACTGGCTTTGTGCAGTTGAGGGAAGGGACAACACCTCAACGGAGAGCGTGAGAGGTTGCGGGGCACAGCCAGGGACTGCTTGCTTTGGGCTCGCCTGGCTGCTCACCTGTGTTTCCTGTGACCTTTAAAAAAGGGCAGTTTCTTGCTGGTCTGGCAGGGCTGCTGCCTCCAAACAGGTATGAATGGGGGTGGGTGAGGAGACCTTGGGCAAAGAACCCCTTGCTTGGTGGTGGCCTCTCTACAGGCATGCCCTGTTTGACTCAATGGGCCTAGAAACAACTAGGCTGTGTCTAGAGTCCTGGGCAATTCAGGGTTTTCCATCGGTTTTTCAAGAGTTGCTCCTCTTCCTCGCTGGGACTTTTATTCTGTCCAAGTTACTCATCTTATCCCCTCATTTGTTCATGGATTCATTGGGCCAGCAAGTATCCACTGAACAGCTACTGTGTGCCTTTTGCAAACAAACGATTACATGCACCAGGGGAGACTCTCAGGGGTAGAAGCTCTTGTCTGACAAAAAAACCTTATGTGAACTGGACGATTGCCCTGGGATCTATTTCCTTCCTCCCCCCCTTTTTAAAAAGCATTTTTTATCAGTAAAATAAAATATGTTCAGAAAAATCATATAACTTCAACGTACCATACAAGGGATTAATTAAAAGGCAAAATGGATTCGTTTCTATGCTGGATCACTAGGGCATGCTGCTGCCAGAACGACAGCTGGAGGGAGGGGGGATATATGAAAGAGAAGTGAAATTGGTGAGAGGTGGCTTTAGGGGCCTTCAAAACCTTTCAGGAAAGTGAGGCCAGAGGAAGGGAGGCCCCAGACAAAACTGCTGAAGGAGAGAGAGGCTGCCATGCCCTTTGTGTGTATTCCCCAGGCACAGGCCAGAATCCTCTCCAAGCGAGTGCACCCTGGTAGGGACCCCCAGAGCTCACCTGGCATTAGCCTCACTCTAGCTTCAGCCAATGGTTGGGGTCAGTGCCACCCGCTCAACTCCGTGTCCTCGCAAATTAAGTCATCCTGGCTGTGGCTAGACCTTTGTGCAGAGGGCTGGGTGCCCCTTTGGAAAGGGTCTTCACATCCCTGTCAGGTTGAGGAACTCGTCAGATTGCTTTCTCTGGGTGCCTGAATCCAATTCTTACATAAGGGGGGAGATTTTTACCTCTTAGAGCACTTTGAACTCTTGGCATATTTTTGTGAATAGGGACAAAATGGCACCCTAGGCAGATGTTGTCCCCTGCTTGCACATGAGGGACACATACAAAAGCAAAATGGAAGAGCTGCAGCCTGAAAATGAGGCTCTGCTCTACCCACTGGCCACCTTAAGTCAGTAATGCTCTCTGGGCCTAAGTTTCCCCCTCAGTAAGGAGTCCCATCTGGTTCTAAAATTCTGATTCCATAAAGACACAGAGTGAGAGTGTCTGGTCTTCAGCTTCCTCCTCCCCTTTTTGCTGCCATTCAGAGATCTCACTCATTTTGACCCTTTGGCTCTCACCTTGATGCTGGTAAGTCCGAAATCCATTGCCCTGCTCCAGCCTGAGCTCCAGCCTGTCTCCAACTCTCTATAGAGATTTCTATTTGGTTCTTCTGAAGGAGCATAAATGTGCACCGTGTCTAAGTGAGGCCACCGCCGCCTTCCTGATAACTATCAGCACTTCTGTCAGTCTCCCTGTGGCTCACAGAGTCACCATCTACTGTCCCCATCCAATCGCCAAAGTTTTCATACATTTTGCACATTTCAAAGTTACCTCCTGATTTCCCCTCTTCCTCACCATCTCCATTTCTGTCATTTTTCCAGTACCTCCGTTTGCCTTGCCCCTTGCCCTGTGCCTCCCTTTCCAATCTACTTGACGGTCCCCGTCTAATTTTCCCAAACACGCCTGGTCTCTTTCCGGCTTGATGGCATCTTGTCGCTTGCAACTGGCTTCTGAATCTGCATTTTTAAAGAAGTCCTGGAATACTAACATCTGAGAATTGCTGACCAAGGGAAGTAAAGTCCCAGCTTCACACACAGGGCCTTCCTCGAGGTGGCCCCCCCTCTCCGTCTTCCCTCTCTTCTCCCACAGGGACTCTCAAAGCCTCCCCTGTGCCCATTCCCCACCCCCCCAGTCCCCTTACTGTCACTATGTTCCTCTTCAGGGGTGCCTTCCCTTCTTTCAAGGCCCGGCCCACTTCTCCCCTCCTTCCTCCCCAGATTTCCTGTATCTGAGCTTTCTGGGTATTCTCTCTTGCCTACCCGCCCCTCCAGTGCTAGGCTG